CTCTCTGGTGAATCCTCTCACCCTCCGCATCTCTGACCTGTACCCCAGTTCTGTATGTACAAATAAATCTTTTAAAAAAAAAATTCTGCTTGGGAGGGCTGGCTACATAAACCCTCTCTAAGTACAAAGAAGAGTAATTTCTGCAAATTCCCTTCCCTCAACTGTACTTTTATATAGCTTTTGGTGGAAAAGTTATGCATTTAAATTTTACCTGGTCCAAGAGCAAGAAATAACACCTAAAATGGGAGTTGTGCAGCACACTGGCTGTGCAGGCATCTGCAAAAACAAGGTGACCTGACAAAAATGCTTTTCCCGTGTAATACTGTCAAAGAAGGTGTTGGTTTCCATTTGATGTTTTAAAATAAAGAGATCGCCAAACCTCAGCCCTCAGGTGTCTGTATTCTATACCCTTATGAATGATTATTCTAGTTTCTAAGCTGTATTTACAGCATAATTTCATTATTTTCTTGTAGCCTTCTGAGAGCCTCCTTGGCGCCATATATCTGGGTCTTGATTAGAAATCCATGCCAACCAGTTTAAGGCTGGTTATTGAAAATCTCTTGTGACCAAAATGACAAAGAAAATCTCTATGTTTAGTCAGCAGAATCTGCATCCTATTTTTGCCTGAGAAGGACTTTGAGGTTTGGGAAATTGTAAAATGGAGGGGCTTAGCTCACACACACCATAGCCAAATAGGAATCAGGGTGTGGGCTTATAGCCTGAGGTGCTGCATAGTCTGTGGCTCAGGTTTGTGGAGGGGACTTTCCTATGTTGCCATTCTCTCCTGACACAAGCAAAGCAGTTACAATTTAACCACATGGCCAGAGAGTGGCACTGTAAAAACAGAAGAATGGAAAGATAAAAGGGATCTGAGTGAGTCAGGAGGGTGGGAAAGCTCCCCATAGGCAATCTGCCTTCAGTTTGAAGGCTACATCATAGTACAAATAACTCCACTGGAGGGAGATAGTGGACTGTGCACACATGTAACCTTTCACTCTACCCCAAATCTCCAGAAACAAAAGGATATGTAATTTTTAAAAATCCACAAGGCATTTTAGAAAGCTTGGAGTACTCTTGGCACACCAGATACCATGAGCAAAGAGAAGGGCAGATTTTTCTTTCTTGAAAAAAGAAACCACAGCTCAAAACACTCAGCTGCTACAGAAAGAAACAGGCTTTAGAGACCGTCCAATCGGACATGCTGGACATCAGAGCAGGGGCAAAAAGCTCAGGTCAGACACACAACCCAGACAACTGTGGTCAGCCAGGAGGAAGCCTAGATGGTGAGCTGTGAGCCAAAACCAAGGGAGCTCAACTCTTAAGAGAATTTATGTGTGAGGAAACAGTTATACACAGCTGAGAAAATAAAATTTTAGAAAACACATAGTAAATACCCTCAGAGAGATGCAAGAAACTCTCATACCATTACAAAGAGATGCTAGATTTCATCACTAAAATCAACTCAAACCATAAGTCAAACACCACAATATCTTTAACTAAATAAGTTAGTGAGCTAAAGAGTCTCTTTAGAATTGCCTGGAAAGGCAGTCCAGTCATAAGATGTTCCTGAGCAAAGTTTTGTTTGTTTGAATTTGAGATATGCTTTGAATGAAAAATATGTATCAAATCTTGAAAATTTAGTACAAGAAGATAAACTACCTCATTAACATATTTTTAAAACTGTTGATTACAAGTTGCAATGATATTTTGGATACACAGTAAAGTCAAATAAAGAGAATTTAACCGCTTTTTACTTTTTTAGTTTGGCTAATAGAAAATTTTAAATTATGTGTAATTTACATTACTTTTCTATGGGATAGTACCTAAGGGATGGTAAAATATGAAAACTGGACCCCCTGGTGGCACAACAGGTTAAAGCACAGCACTAAGAAGCTAAAGTCACTTCAGCATGAGTTTAATCCCCGCCCTGGAGTTGACCCACATGGCAATGGCACCTGCCTGCTGCTCCCCTCAGCAGTGTACTTCATCCATCTGCCTACTCTGCTCCCCACTCTGTATCTGGTGAATCCTCTCACCACCCCTGCACCTCTGGCCTGTACCCCAGTTCTGTATGCATAAATAAACCTTAAAAATGAAAAGTGAAGTTATGGGAGGCTCGGCTGAATGAATCGCGGGTGGTCTCCTCGCAGAGGGAGAGAAGGGAAGGAGGTGAAGAAACACTGAAATGACAGGAGATGTCCAAACTGAACACAGGTCATGGATGGGAAAGCACTCCCACTGGTGCTAGAAACAGTGGGGAGATGCCAATTTTGAACACTACATTTGATCACTGTCCTGGAGGTTCTTGCTACGCGACAACACAACGAAAAAGGAAAGCTATTTCTATTTGCCGGAGATATGACTGCTCTGTATTCCCTCAGACTTCCCCCATGAAGCCTTCTGCAGTCTGTCCCTCTTGGCCGAGGCAAAAGAAACAAACAGCCGTTCTTCCTGCCCAGATACGACTGGAATGATCCATGAAAAGTGGAACATAAGCAGCCAAAAGAACACAGAATGGGCCCTCCCAAGTGGCACAACAGTGTCAAGTGCAGCACTATGTAGATACCTGCAGCCATTACAGCCTGAGTTCGATCCCCAGCCAGGTAGCTAACACACATGGCACAGCAGACCTCTCCTGTCTTGCCCGCTGCTCCCCTCAGCAGTGTATTTCAGTTAATTCGCCTGTTCTGTTCCCCACTCTGGTAAATCCTCTCACCCCCTGCACCTCTGTCTGGAACTATACCCCAGTTCTTTCTTTGCATCAATAAATCCTTATTAAAAAAACAAACAAACGAAAAACAGAATGAAGGCATCATTCCTGGAATAAATGCTCATTGAGTGGAAGGAAGGGTGCTTACCGACGGATAGCATTAGCAAACTCTGCAGCCAGTTCACTGTCGTTGCATGTTGTCCTCAGTTCAGCCAGTGACAAAGCTGGGGAGGCAGCATCAGCACATTCCTGAGAAAGGCAAGCACACTTGTTAGCCTGGAGCAGTGTCTGCGAACACTGGCAACATATTGGAGGTGACTGGAGCAGGGGCCAGTAACCAGCACTTGAACCTGAGGCCACCCAGCTGGCCATGGGCAGTGATATGCCAAGAGCGCTGAGTGCCCAGGGAGCTGGGTGTGGGTCTACACACTACATAATTTCACAAATATAATCAATGTGTCATTACGGGGCAACTTCCTCATTGTCCCATTTTACCAAGGAGAGAAAGAAGGCACAGAGATAGGACATATACAAAGTCACCAATGAGAGCACGTGGGCTCAGGAGTCAGACTCAGCTGGGCTGCCTGACTAGCCTCTCCTTACTCAGCTTACCCACAAAATACAATGAGTGTCCTTGTTCCCATCCCACTTCTCCTTGGGAGAACACCATCTCTGTAGCTTTAAGAGGTTAACTGGGTTTGATATGGGCATCTAGAATACTCAGAAAGGAGCAGGACAAGTGCATCCCCACCTATGTCTTAGCATCAGACAGGAACCTTCATACCATCTAAACATCCTCTTGTTTACAGAGGAGGAAATTAAACGGCAGCACTTTTAAAGCCTGAATCTAATCCAATCCCCAGTGGAGGTCTCCACCTTCTCCACACCTGGACAGAGTACAGAGTTTTACTTCATAATGAAGTGGCTGGGGCAGGCACTTATCTGATAATTTGCTGAACAGTCATATACCAAGAATTTACCACATCCCGGCCAGGGAATCAAAGGCATGTGATCTGTCACAGGAGTGTGAAAGCAATTGCAAAGTCATGTGGAGATGGTCTGAGAGGTATAGCAGCATAAATCAGAGGTAGGGGTACAGATGAGGGAGGGCACGGTCTCTTTCACCCCCTCCTGACACAGAAATGCCATCATACCTGGGGGTTCTGCTACAGCAGTCACCCCTTCCCTTTACTATGCCTGTGGCCTGCAGCTCTTTCCCTACAAACCAATTTCCAATGTGATGGTAATACTTTATAACAGAGGTTGCTTTGTCTTACCTGCCTCTCACTGAACACATTTGGTAGTATAGAGATAATAGCTATAAAAATTGAATGCAACTTGGATAAAATTTGTTGCTGCAGAGAAATTTTTAAACAGGGAAGGACAAATCCTATGGAGCAAGAGTGGATGTTCGAGATCTGAATCTTTGTTGCTACCTGTTTTGGTAGGGCCCACAGACTAAGAATTGCTGTTCTGTTTTTCAAATCCTAAGAAAAATGGAAAGAATTGGAACAATACCTTTGTGATATATAGAAATTAGATGTAATTCCAACTCCATTGTCCATAAATAGTTACTAAATACAAACTCCAATTATGTAGCAGCAAAATTGAGTAGTTGTGGCTGCCTGTATGTACTGAAGAACCCTGAAATACTGACTGGTTGGCTTTTTTTACTCTTTTTGCCTCATATACCAATAAATAAGATCAAATAAACATCCCAGAATAGAGAGTTCACTGAAGTATTAAGTGGATTTAATATTTGAAAGACAAGGAAATCAGTGTGTTCTAATTTTACCACCTGAACAACACCAAGTACATTTATAAAGCCTCTTACACGAGTGTACAATTTTTTTAAAATCATCTGACCAAATTACCTCTCCCATCAGAGATTTCTGTATTTTGAAGTCGTTCCATGAATGACTTCCCCAAGTCAAAATAAATTCTGAAAATTAGTGGTTCATGGACCTTCTGGCAAGATGCTGGCATGTTCATTTCCACCACATCCTAAGGGCTTGTACCTACAAACACTGGAGCTCTGTTTCTCAGTCTGTCCCCAAGTGACCACTAACAAACTTGAAAGGCTATAATATAAAAATCTTAAAATATTTGCATGGAATGGAAAATCCCATCCTGTCTGACTCGATGCTCTATGAAGCAGTATTTTATTGGCTGCTGCTCACCCCCACTGGAGTCAGATGGATCATGATACACACACAGGTACCTTTCCAAAGCCCAGAGCGTGTCACAGTGTCTCTTGCAGCAAACCCTTCAGTGACTTGCCACTGTCCATCAGGCCAACCTCTCCAGCCAGTGCATCAACTTCTCCATTCCCCTTTCTGCCCTGGCCTCTGTCTCTGCTTGCTCTGGCTCCCCATGGGGGTCTCAGTCCAGGAACCCTGCTGTAAGCCCCCACATTTGGATTTTGTGCTTGGCCTGTGACCTCCTCCTACCAACTCAGAAGAGACCCTACCATTCAGGATATAGTTCTGCCTTATTGTCAACTACTTGCCCATCACTGTCTCCATGGAAACCCAAACTCCGGGGACTGACCCCAGAACCTTGCAGGATCAAACCACATCTAACAAATGAGCATATGGCCTTCGTGGACACTGTACTCCCTCCCTTAGATCCTTAGCAGGCGCGGGGTGGGCCAAGTGTAGCTGTGAAGGACACTGAAATTTTTTTAGCTATTTAGAAAGAACTATCTCATGGCTTCAGTAACCTGCTTTCTTTCCAGATACACAGCTCTTCTAGAGGTACCACTTTTCAGGGCTTCGAGAAGCCACTCCTAACACCAGCAAGGCATCATATGCCCCACATTTCTGGGATTGTCAGAAGTGGTATTTATAAGAATACACAAGATTTCAGCACTCTGAGATGAAGGCTATGACCATTTAGGATTTAGAGCTATCTCCCCCCCCCTCCAATACAGTGTTTAGAGTAATTCTGAGATATGGTATGATGAATTGAACTGAATTCTAGAAAAGAACTATAGGTTAATGGGCGTGAGTTTGCAAGATAGCCTTTGTAACTCAGGGCACTTCTTCCTACTCTGCCACCTCAGCTTGCTTTCTGCATTGTCAGCTATGTCAGCGGCAGTGCAGATGAGAGGCGGGAGCATGTTAGCTAGATTTGGATTGTCTCAGTTTTGCCATTTATTAGCTGTACTTTTATTACCCCTCATTTTCCTATGTAAATGGGAATTCTGTGTGGCTTGTGCAGATGGGATCAGTCTAGAGGTAACTTGGGGATAGAGTCTGAGATACAGAGTTTCAGGACAGATAAGGGGAAGTTATCAGACCTTAGGATAGCTGTCTTCCCTGTTAAAGAGTGTGATATGTGATAATGCCTCTACTATGATATAGAGGGAGAATTTTTAAAAAATGTGGATTTGGGCCCTTCCTGGTGGTGCAGCGGGTTAAAGCACAGCACTGAGAATCTAAAGCTACTTCAGCATGAGTTCGATCCCCTCCTGCCCTGGAGGTGACCACATGGCATGGCAGACCTCTCCTGACCCGCCTGCTGCTCCCCTCAGCAGTGTACTTTGTCAGTCTGCCTGTTCTGCTCCCCACTCTCTCTGGGGAATCCTCTCACTGCCCTTGAGCCTCTGGCCTGTACCCCAGTTCTGTATGCACAAATAAATCTTTAAAAAAAATGTGGATTGGTCTCTTTGCATTCAAAATGATTTGTAATCAAGTTGCAAATCTTTCAGATCTTGAGAATGGTTTCTGTGAACATAAGGAAAAATGGAATAGCAGGGCAGGAGATGTGCGGTGGTAGGGCAGGCAGGAGGCCGCGCTGGGCTGTGCCCCGCTACCTTGCCAGACTTGTCTCTGCTGCTGCTGCTGGTGGAGCTGAGGGATCGCATGCGCTGCTCCTTCTGTTCCTCCACTTCTGACTTCAGATGCTCAATGTGAACCAAATAGGCCTGTTCCTGTGCCTCCCGCGTACTCAACTTCAGCTCCAGGGCCTTCTTCTCCTTCTCTAGTAGGTAGAGCTGGGCCTTCAGCTCAGCCATCTCCTCCTGTGGGTCCAGAGAAGTCAGTGAGAAGAAGGATGTGACCAGGGCCTTGAGCTGTTGGTAGGTATTGGCTGGAGATAAGACAGCATTGGGAGGAGCTGCAATAGTGCTTTCTACACGCCAGCAGGACTAATATGCAAAAAATTGTGTGTACGTCACTCTGTGGACCCGAATTGAGATGAACAGGCAAAATTGCAGGCAAGAAGCTCTTTGTTCATTATAAGGAAAACCTTCCTAACAGCTTTAGGTGGGTCTGCCCCAGGCCCCTCCAGGAACATATCCAGACCTCATGAGTCCAACATATTGAAATTGTCCTCATTTATAAATGGGCTCTGATACTCCTCTAGGGGCCTTTTCATAATTCCTCCTGATGACTGGTAGGCATGGGAACAGAGTTTGAAACAGGCCCCCAAAGTTACCTTCATGGCCATGAGCTCCTGCATCAGCACAGCGTTCTCCAGGTCCAGCCGCTGGCTGTCTCCTCGGGGCTTGATATCGTAGCTGAGTGGGTCAATGTGGATGCTCTCCAGCTCCAGCATAGTCAGCTTCACAGCTGCCCTGTCATTCTTCAACTGCTGGATATAGTCCTTCAGCCTCTGCTCATCTTCTTTGGTGAACTCAGTGTCACAGCTACTGGCTGTGGAGCTTGTGGTGCTGAAAAGAGAAGGAAACAATCATGTTCTCACATCAGCACTAAAAGAGCTTTCTTTACTTGTCCACACTGTCTCTTCAATAGCCTACATACTGTAAACACTATGGTAGTTAACCCCCCCCCCCAAAAAAAAAACAAACAGTCTTCAAGGCGCAGAGAATTGGTACCATCTTCTAGGAAAGAAATGAGCATGGAGAGGGCCTTCCCTGGTAGCGCAGTGGGTTAAAGCACTGCACTGAGAAGCTAAAGCCACTTCTGCATGAGTTCTATTCCCGCCTGCCCCGGAGGTGATCACATGGCGTGGCAGACCTCTCGTGACCTGCCCGCTGCTCCCCTCAGCAGTGTACTTCATCGATCTGCCTGTTCTGCTCCCCACTCTGTCTCTGGTGAATATTCTCACCACCCTGCACCTCTGGCCTGCACCCCAGTTCTGTATGTATAAATAAATAAATCTTTAAAAAAAAAGAAATGAGCATGGAGAATAATAGAAATATTTAAGACTTATAGGGGCTCTAGAAATGAATTCTAAGGAAATAATTCTACAAAGCTGTTTTATGGAATATAGGGTTTAGTACATTTCAAAGGGAAGGGAATTTTGTAGATAGCAGTATTATGACAACAGTGAAGATGGATTCAACAAGGAAATAAAATAAACAGTCTTCAATAAAAATAGGTGTATATATGGATGTGACTTTAAAGAAGAGAGATATTTAATTAACACAGTAAGTTGAAAAACAAAATAGGGACCCTCCCTGATGGTGCAGCAGGGCTAAAACACAGCACTCCAAGCTGGTCACAGCCGCTTCAGTGCAAGTTCAATCCCCACCTAGGAGGTGACCCACATGGTACAACAGACCTCTCCTGTCTACCCACTGCTCCGCTCAGCAGAACACTTTGTCAGTCAGCCTGTTCTGCTCCCCACTCGGTCTCTGGTGAATCCTCTCACTGCCCTTGCACCTCTGGCTTGTACCCCAGTTCTGTGTGCATAAATAAATAAATCTTAAAAAAAAAAAAGAAAAACAAAATACCTATGGTGTGACCTATGGGCATGTGCACATGCATACATAGTCTCCAGGTGGCCAACAGCAATCCTCTGGTTGTGAGTGCTGGAAGAGATTTTGTACCAGGAAACCACTGCTATGTATAACACTAAATCACAACTCAGAAAACAGGGTGCCCTGAGCCACAACTTGATTGCAAATCAAGGCTGAGTAGTGTCTACCACAAGGATTCCACCAGTGCTGAGTGGTGACAAGTGAGGGCCTGGCAGACTTGAGATGCACCTTGGTGGAACCCAGTGTGGTGGCCTGTGACTAAAATCAGACCACAATGAAAGGACTCTATCATTGGGAAACTGAGGCTGTAGCTCTTTGGAAGTTTCTGGCCTTTTCCATTGGTGGACAGGCAGCCCCCACTGGTTTAGAAAGGCCCACCTCATCCAGTCAGTCCTCTAGTCTTTGAGAGCAGTGTGTACCTACAGAGGTTTTACTGGGCCTCTGCTGGACCCGCCTATACCAGCCTTTAGGGAACTGATTTTGTAATGACAGCAATAGAACTAAGCAGGGGCCCATTTAACTTGAAAAAAAAAAAGGGGTCAGGTTTCAATAAAAAACGTTGGTGAGGATGTAGAGAAAAAGTAACCCTCTAACACTGCTGATGGGAATGCAGATTGCTCCAGCTACTATAGAAATCTGTGCAGAGGACCCTCAAATTACTAAAAATGGAGCTACCCTATGATGTAACATTTCACTCCTAGGACACAAAAAACATTAATTTGAATGGAAACCTGCACTCCTATGTTCATTGCAACATTGTTTATAATAGCTAAGATATAGAAATAATATAAGTGTCCAACAACAGATGAATGGATCAAGATGTTGTATATATACATAATGGAATACTATTCAGGAATCAAAAAAGATAAACTTATGTCTTTGCAGCAACATGTATGGAGCTGGAAGGGACTATACTCTGAAATAAATCAGAAAGAAAAAAGAATATTGGATTTACGTAGGCTATGCTACCCATGCTGTCTCATGACAAGGTTCGGGCAATGGGGGAGATTCCCTAGAAGATGGAGACTGCTTGGTTCCCAAGAAGACATTAAAAGGGGAGTTCTGGTACCCAAGAAGACATAGTAAGGGGACTCTCCATAGTGATGCTTACTGAACTACCTTGTACTTGTTTTTGGCTAATAGCAATTGTATTTGACCATCAAGCAATTCTTAGCCCTCCATTATTTGCGGCCAAATTGGACATTGAGAACCAGTTACAGAAATGTTTAACAATTGACAATGATTTTCTCAGGAAAGTACCTTAGCATAAATCAAGAGTGTAGATTGTCTTTCTGAATATGGATAAAATATGATTAGGATGTACTTCCTCCTGGGACAATTTGGAACCTGGGAAAGGATTGTTCATAGGAGAACTTGAAGATTTGCTGCTTTATTTGAGATGCTGACTAGAATGACTGATAATGCTGAAAAATGTCTGTCATGGTCTCCGACATTAGATGGTTTCATTTATAGGAGAAAAATAGGTAAGCCAAACAAAGAACTGGGGGGAAAAAAGACAAAACTTGCATATAACTATAAATCTGTGATATACAGCAGGGAAGAGGGAGGAAGAAGGATCAAAACAGGGTAGGGAATAGCACAAGAGACTATGGTGATGATTCATGAGTGATATGGTAATGGAAATTTGATGGGGATTAAACCTGAGGGGAGAAACCAAACATGGTTCAAAAATGAATGACAAGGTAAAAAAAAAAAATGAAAAAGGCCAAGTTGGCATTATCACCTCTATTGTTACAGATTTGGAAAGTGAAGTGCAAAGGCATTCAATGGCCTGCTCAGTCCTAAGAATGGATACTGGTATACAACTAATCTGGGCCTTACTCTACTCATTCCCAGCTCGATCTTCTTGAGTTTCCTGTTGCTACAGTGTGCCAGGCAAAAAACAATGTCTACAGACGGTTCTCTTCTCCTCTGCTGAAATATGGGTAACATGCCCAGAACTCCCATTCCCTGAATGGATTCTCCTCCACATAACTGGGTATGACCCAGGATAATTCCCTTCCTGTTCATGATACATTATCAAGGAAACAAGGCTTCGAAGAGAGAAAGGGAGTGGAGAGAAGGTGACTGTCATTCTGAAGCTTGAGGAAGCAAGCATCTTGGGCTCAGAGTGGATTTCAAGTAAGAACAATCCTGAGTATCTGCCCTTCCCACTTCCCTCATCCTATCAGATCAGCTACTATGTTCCCCTGGAGAAAAAGGGAGCAGATCAACCCAACCAACACATAACTAACTTTCTCTTCAAAGGTTTTGTGATGGTTACACTCATAACAACAAGTTAATCAGGCCATGGCACCCAGCTGCTTGGCCAAACACCCGAAGTTACTTTTTCAATGGGATTAACATTGAAATTGATAGCCTTTGGGCAAAATAGATCAGTCTTGTTATGTGGTTGGGCCTCATCCAATCAGTTGAAAGCTTTAAGAGAAAAGATTGACATCTGCAAAGAAATTGTGTTGCCAGTCTGGATTTTCAACACCATCTACTCTTCCTTGGGTCTCTACTCTGCCTGTGTGCCCTGCAGATTTAGGACTTGCTACCTTCTACAAGTATTTGAACCAATTCCTTAAAATCAGTTAATGCTTTCTGTATACATACAGACAGACATGCATGTGTGTACACACACACACACACACACACACACACACACACACACACACACCATTGAATCTGTTCCTCTGGAGAACCCTAATACAGAGGTACTCTGTCAATGAGTCAAACATCTCATACACTCTGTAGATTTGGAAGTGGCATGATGAACCTCTTTGTTCAAACAAACAAGTAAAATATATAGTATATTAGACAGTGAGAATTACCATGGTGTAAAATTTAAATTAGCTATAAGGAGCACTAAGTGGTCATGGAATTACTGAAATAAGTTGTACGAAATAGAGCTGTGATAAAGTCACCTTTGAATAGGTGAGTAAAGGAGCTGAAGGAAGGGTGGTCCAGGAATAGGATGTGGAAGATGCTCAAGCCCTAAGGCAGTGACTTTGGCCAGTAAGAATGAGTCAAAATTGGAGTCAGATTCAGGACAGGAAGTAGGAGAATTGGTCAGAGAAGGGGGATGTGTGTGGGATGGTTTATGTGTTTATAGGACTGTGTCTTTTTCTCTAGAATTAGATTTGGAGCCTCTGGAGGGTTTGCAATTGAAGAGTTACATTATCTGCCTTACATCCTAACAGGAGCCCCTGGCAACTATGCTGAGGCAGGGCAGGGTGGCCAGGGCAGAGGCAGGGGGACCTAGTAGGGACTGCTGCAACAATATCTGTGTGGGTGAAGGCAAATTTGAGGACAAATGAGTTATTAATAATTGCTGTGGTTGTTTTACCTCGAGCTGTATTTTCTCCAGTTGTAAAACTTCAGCTGAACATTTATAATGAAACAAAACAGTTCAAAAGCAGCATAAAATAGCAAATGGCACCCCCACCAGAGGGCACTCAGGTCCCTGGTGTCTGGAGTCTGGGATGAGAGCTGCCGGACAAGGGCTTGTTTCAATGAGAGAGGCAGGTCCTGCCACTGGCATCTGCAGCAAAAAACCAGCCTGTCCATGGCTCTGTTGCAACCTCCTAGGCTCACTCACTTTCAGGGATTGTCAACGTTGATGTGGAGGGACAGGACTAATGTTCCACAGACACAGAAACAACAAAATTAAAGCAGATGGAAGCAGTTCCTTTGTTCATAAAGCATTCCATAGTGCTGAGGGTTAGCTGTGTTCGAAGGGTTGGAGGGTGGTGCTGGGAAACAACACTATTCTTCCAGTGAGTTGGGAAGAGGCTTCAGGAAAGGAATCCAGCTAGGGCTGGAGGCTCACTTTTCCATGCTAGTCCTCCCTGCATTAAAAATCATTTTGAGGCCCTCCCTGGTGGCGCAGCGGGTTAAAGCACAGCACTAAGAAGCTAAAGCCACTTCCGCATGAGTTCGAT